CTGTCAGTCTGGATTGGCTGAACTTGAGCTCTCAGGAGTGACTAGAGGCTTCCATACTAGACAACTCAGACCCACTCCAGGGCTTTGAGTATCAGTCACAGAGCTAATTACCCTCACATCTTTTTAGACTTAGATATTTGAGGGTGCTTAATAAACATGAAAGAGATCATACTGCACCCAGTTTTGAACTTTCCCATTGGGATGAAGCCTACACTCTGTAATGAGGCCTCTTGTGATCAGACCCCAACCTACCTTGTCGATTTCAGTCCTGAGCACCCTCTGGCTCACAGGCGGAAATTCAGCCTCATTCTTTCAGCTCCTAGACTCCAGCCCAATTCTCTTATCCTTGCCCTTCACGTGCCAACACTTGACTTCTCCCCACCCCACCCTTCTGTACTGGCCTAGCGTCCACTGACCACAGGGTCACCAATGCCTCCCCTTCACTTCCCTGGATCTCAGTCTGGAGGAGAACAATGGGGGTCAGTGGGGAACACTAACTCCCTGGACCCTACTCCCACATCTTCCAGCTGCCTGGAATTCTGGGTGGCTCCCAAGAGGCACTGACCATGACCATCCTATGCTGTCTCAGGGTGCATACTGCAAGGACACACCAGAAGGGCAGGGCAGATGCCCAGGGAAGCACTCCAGGGTCACCTAGCCACGATTCCTAAGGAACTGGGATGCTGGTCAGAGTGTAGTGATCCTTCATGCAACCCACTCCTCTTGCTACTCCCAAACTCTGATTTCTACCCTCTCCCATCTCTGCTTGTTGCTCTGCAGCTCCAGCTCCTCCTGCTTCCCATGCTCCTTCCCCTTTGTCCCTGAGCTGGATTCCCACTGGTTTATAGTGAATCGCTGTCCATTTGTGCAGCTCTTGGGCAGATCCTTCATGCTGAGCCACCTCACTGGTCCCTGGCCTGTCTCCAGCCTTCAACTGGCAGTCTTTGGGTGAATTTCTAATTTCTGCCCCATCCATCAACCAGAAAAACCAGGCCACAGGCATAAAACTCACAGTTTGTTTCCTTGCTAAGAATGTTGCGAAGAGCTTGGTGGGCAGCTGGAATCCATCACATTTAGGGCATATGATCTGAGCAAGAGTGTTTTCTCTGATGTGTAAATTATTTATTTGAAAAGTCTCACAAAATAATAAAAATCAAAACCACATGTTGTCAGTCAATTAAATGCCATCTACTGCACAGGTTATCTCATTGCCCCCGGATATGTGATGATGGCTAGGACAGTAGAAAGAGCTCTGAAATCAGAGGTCTGAGTCAGTTTGCTTGCTGTGTGATCACAGACATTTCCTTGCCGACTCTGGGCTTCGGCCTCCTTGCCAGCTCAATAAGGAGTTTTCTCCTGCATGGCATTCAGTTCTGATGGTGTGTGGTTCTGTGGCCCTTAGCCAATCAGAAGTCCCGGGATTTGACCCCTTCTCAGTGAGCATGGCCAGAACTTCAGGCCACATTCCAGTCAACACAGGAAAGTACAAATCTGTGTGTTGAATGACCCAGAATGTCCCTTAAGGAGAGTTCCCAGCTCTGCAGTCAGTCGCCATGGATGCACTTCCATCCAGAAACTCTCCATGCACTGGGAGGCTAGTGGGGAATCCCCTTTAACCAGATGATCCCAGGAGCCAAGCACAATTTAGTCCCTGGAGTTTCCAGCTGAGCCTTTTCCAGACATAGCCTGGCTTGGAACTGGTCTAGGGAGGGAGGCACTGGAGAGCGAGCTCTTCTCCAAGGCGGGATTGGGCATAGGCTCAGAGGGACAGTGCTCATAGGGGCCCCCCATCTCCCCCACTGTCCTCAGCACTCCACCTACCCCCCCACAAGAGCACTGTCTTGGCAGGAGACTGGCCCTGGAGCCCCCAAGCTGTTTGTCCAGCTGTCCTCACATCCCCAGGTCACAAGGTTCTTATGTACCTTGGCCTAGAGAATGTTATCAGGCATCTGGGCCCCCACTGGGTTCCAGCCCAGAACCAACACCGGGTGGGAGGAGGAGCTGGGCTGAGTTGCACCCCTCTCTCAACCTCGTTTATTCTTCTCTGCACACATGAGACCAGATCATCTTCCTGAGCCCTTTAGCTGGGCAGTCCACACCTCTGAACAGCAGCTAAGAACCAGACTTCCAAGTAAAATGGGTTAGATTTGAACCAGTGTAACCTAAGCCCTCAATGGACAATAAATATCCACCCAAGGTAATACACCAAAGTGCATGATATAGGCATATTGACTTCTTACAAGAGAAATCAAGACTCAAACAGCTTCCTATCCACAAAAAGATGGAGGTCTGTGCCTAGAGGAATTGAAAAATGCCCATTCCCCTACTGGCGCATTGCATCAGCTAATTTGTACAGGGCCTGGGTTACCTCCTATAAAACAATGGAAACCTAGTCATCCATTGTGGTCCGCCATGTGCCAATATATCTGATGATGTGGGGTGGAGGGACAGTACATAGGATCCAGATTACAGAGAAGAACAGCCAGACACCCCAGATAGAAATATACCCTAAATGACAAGAAGAGTCTACCATGGCAACCCAAGCCCTGCAATTGAGCTAGAACATGGTGAAGAGGACTCAGGAAGCTCGGGGTCCTGACTCAGCCATTCTGGTGGCAAAACTGGCCCAGTGGCCCTGGGCAGGGAAGAAGCTACAGCACTTTGGGGTCCAGGCTCTTCTGCTATATTGACACAGAAAGTGGAAGAAGAAGAGAGTAGGGAGATTCATAGTAATATTTGGGTAGGAGTCATCAATTGGACTGGAATATCCTTTGCCATCCGTTGCCATGGGGTTGAACACTATACAAAATTAAGTCTGAAATCTCTTTCAAGCCTAGGATTTGTCAACCTTAGCACTATTGACTTTTGGGGTCTGGCTAATTCTTGATTGTGGGGGGGTGGCCGTTCTGGGTGTTATAAGATGTTCGCAGCAGCATGCCCCAACTACACCCACCAGGAGTGAGTAGCACCAACTCCTAGTGGTGACAACCGAAAATGTCTCCAGACATGCCAGGTGTCCCTGGGCTAAGTGGGACGTGGAGGGATGGCCCTAGCGGAGAATCACTGTTCTTAAGGTAAGCTATGCTTATGTATATTTTCTCTCTACAATCAATAGCCTCGCCTCTTTTTTTTTTTTTTTTTTAACCAGAAACAGGAAGAATAGTTTGTAATCACTGAGCTACAGAGTAGGGGCTTTGTTAATCTCTTTACCTCTATATCCTTTTACCAACCTCCAACAACCCAATGAGACAGACAGGACCACCACCCCCATCTTGCAAACAAGGACACTGAGATACAGAAGAGTTTAGTAACTGCCCCAGCTACACAGGCAGTGTGGATTGAGGATTTGGATCCAAGGAGACTGACTCCAGAGTCCATGTTTTACATAATATGCACTTTGCAGCTGAAAAGCAACTATAACCTGCTGTCTTGGCATCCTTAATCCATAATCCAACCAACCAGATCCCACAGAACCCCTCCAATCAGAGCTTGGCACTGCCCAGATCATGGGTGACCAGAAACCAAACTATTGGAGAAAATCAAGTGATAGTCTTAGAGTTGAGTATGTTCATTGCAAACATACACACACAAAAGAAAACACACAGATGACAACATAACACAGGGAAATTTTTTGAATCAGGATAAGCAAGAAGCTAAAAGCTGAGACACCAGAAGAACCGATCTGGATCACAGAGTCTGGGAGCAACCCAAGATGGCGGCATAGGGAGGCCTGGGCTCACTTGCCATGGCCGCCTTATCTGCAGCTGTATCACATGTGGTGTTGGTTGCAGGTCCCACTCTTACAAAAATAGCCTCTGTCCACTATTGTTCCTTCCAAATGAACACAGCCTTGGTTCCTAGTCCCCCGAAGGCCAAAGACTGGGATTGCCAAAAAAGCAAATAAAATACAAGATGTCCAGTTAAAAATGAATCTCATATTAATGAGTAATTGTTTGATAAGAGGAAAAAGAAGTTCAATAAGAACTTGCTTACCTCTAGTTAAGACTAACTCCAGGGCCTCCCCGGTGGTGCAGCAGTTGAGCGCTGGGTTGCAAAGCTGCCCGCAGCCTCTGCAGCGCCGGTTCAATCCCCAGCTGCTCCCCGGCCACTGCAGGAGAGTCTCCTGCCGCCCGCTGCTCCCCTCAGCAGTGTACTTTGGTCCTTCTGCCTGCTCTGCTCCCTGCTCTGGCTCTGGTGGATTCTCTCACCCTCCCGCGCTTCTGACTGTACCCAGTGCTTGTATAAAGAAATAAATAAATCTTAAAAAAAAAAAAAGACTAACTCCAATGAATAATTTTTAAAAGATTTATTTATTTATGCATACAAGAACTGGGGTATAAGCCAGAAGTGGGGAAGGGTAAGAGGATTCACCAGAGACAGGGTGGGGAGCAGAACAGGCAGAAGGACTGAAGTACACTGCTGAGGGGAGCAGCGGGCAAGACAGGAAAGGTCTGCTGCACCGTGTGGGTAGCTCCCTGGCCAGGGATCGAACTTGTGCTGCAGTGGCTGCAGACAGCTTTATAGGGTGTGTCTTAACCCCTTGTGCCACCAGGGAGGCCCTGAATAATTTTTTAGCACAAGTATTTCCCATGCCATATTAGGGACATATACGAAAAAGACAAAAAAAAAAAAAAAAGCCCCGAGACGGCCTCATCATCTACTGCTGTGCTGGTCTGTGGCAATTTGTTGATCTGAAATTCAAATTCATAGCACATCCTGTATTTTTTCTAGCCACCTTCCCCAAACAGGGGATCCTGTCCACTAAAAAGGGCAGGAGTCCCTCAAAAAGCCCCTGTAGTTCCCAGGTCCCAGTTTTCTCACTAAAAGGACGACAAAAAGGTCCCACTCTGCTCCTCCGGCCCCCAGATGCCCAGAGTGACCCTCCCACTACACCCCTCCCACCGCCCCCTCCAGTCCTCCCTCTCCTGCCCTTTATACCCACTTGGAGAAATTCCACTGACACAAGGATACGAGGAGGGTTAATCCTGCTGATACCAAGTCACACTTTAACTCATTCCCACCAGCCCAAGGATTAAATACTGCCCATGCTGGGGTCAGGGCTACAGCAGACCCTGAAAACAGAGTCCCCCTCCCCAAGTGAGGAGAAGCTGCAAGGGAAAGGGAGGGACAGAGGAGAGAAGGAAGGAGGGGCAGAACGGTCAGGCTGCTGTCCCCCTACAGAGCCAGCTCAGATTCAGCGCTAGGAGCAACTCGGCTGCAGAAGCAACGGCAGCCCCTCTCCTCCAGTGGAGGACAGCAGGCAGACAGAGGCCCTGGGACTGGAAGTCCTCAGCCCCCAGCCGCTCGGCCGGGCCTGACCCCATGGCCTTCAACGACCTCCTGCTGCAGTTGGGGGGCGTTGGCCGCTTCCAGCAAATCCAGGTCACCCTGGTGGTCATCCCCCTTCTCCTGATGGCCTCCCACAACACCCTGCAGAACTACACGGCTGCCATCCCCACCCACCACTGTCGCCCGCCTGCCGATGCCAACCTCAGCAAGGATGGGGAGCTGGAGGCCTGGCTGCCCCGGGACAAGCAAGGGCAGCCAGAATCCTGCCTTCGCTTCACCTCCCCCCAGCAGACACCCCCCTTCCCCAATGGCACAGAGACCAACAGCACGGGGGCCACCGAGCCGTGCACCGACGGCTGGATCTACGACAACAGCACCTTCCCTTCCACCATCGTGACCGAGGTGAGCATGCCCGGGCACCCTCCATGCACCATCCAGACTCTGCCCTCTGAGACAGGCAGGTGCACATGCACACACGCACACAGGCAACAGAGACACACACGTGCAGACACAAGCCAAGATGGAGAGATGGAGGGAGGGGTTCAAGATGGGGGCGTCTGTAGAAAAGGCTGATGTGGGGCTCGCAGAGTCAAGAAATGTCTCTCTGCTCCTGGAACTGGGAGGAAAAGGCAAAGGGAAGTGGCGGGGAGAGGGCAGCAGACCTCAGAGTGCCAGCCTGAAGGAGGGTGCGGGACTGCCCGGCAGCCCAGGCCCTCTGTGCCCGACCCTTGCCCCTCCCCCTACAGTGGGACCTCGTGTGCCCTCACAGGGCCTTGCGCCAGCTGGCTCAGTCCTTGTACATGGTAGGGGTGCTGCTCGGGGCCATGGTGTTCGGGTACCTGGCAGACAGGTCAGTTCTGGGTGAAATCCAGGCTCTGGGCTGGGGCTGGGGCTCCTGGGCAGGCCTAGGCGGGAGGTTGGCGACCCAGCCAGGCCTGGTGTGTGGCGCCTACCGCACCAACCATGAAGCTTCAGGGGTTCTCAAAAGACCCCAGGACAGGACCCCTCTCCTGCCCAGCTTGGCTCCGGGGACCCCTGCTGCAGGTCTTCTCCTCACAGGCTGGGCCGTCGGAAGGTGCTGATCCTGAACTACCTGCAGACTGCTGTGTCGGGAACCTGTGCTGCCTTCGCTCCCAATTTCGCCCTCTACTGTGCCTTCCGGCTCCTCTCGGGCATGTCACTGGCTGGCATCGCCCTCAACTGCATGACACTGAGTGAGGGGTGCCGGGAGGCAAGGCGGTTCCCTACCCCCTTCCCTCTGGTCACCCAGTCCCACAGCCCCTTTCCAGCTTCTTGCCCCGGCCCACTGCTCCTGAACAATGCCTGCCCTCTGCCTGCCCTCTGGGTCTACCCTTCTTCTCTGGCTCATGCCAGCCTGACCCCTCATTTAGACATGGGATTATAAACACCACTGTTAGGGCCAGACAGGCCCCATGAATGACTGATAGAGACAAGAGGCATTAGAGACTGGTAAGGACTGAGTCCAAAGGAGAGCCACACCTATCCAGGAAAGCCTCAGCCACTCAGTAGCACCAGTCAGGGGTTCAGGGCTGTCAGGTCATCCTCCTCCATATTATTAATGTAAAATAGTCCAATATATTCATGTTGACAGCTAATTCAAATGTATATGAAAGGCACTCAATGGTCAGAGCATGGTCTGTATGTGAGTCATCAATGTGCATCCTCTGACAGACTCAAAGGGCTGGGTTAGGATTAGGGGTTCCTTGGCTGGACTCAGTGGATCTGCTCCCCATCAGTTTCTCAGAGGAGGGACCTGAGGCTGGGGTGAAGAGAAAGGATTTACCCAAGGTCATGCCTCAAGTCAGAAGGGAATCTCAGGGTCTAGAACCCAGACTGGGTCTGGACTAGAACCAGGGCAGGACACAGAGAAATGATAGCCCCAACAGCAGTCATATCAGGAGCCCCAGAGGAATGAGCTGAGGGAGCACAAAGGGCAGCAAAGAGGTGGTTCCACTCCAGCTCCCCAAGATGGAGACAGGCCTGCATCCTCCCACTGCTCGGGCCACTGAAACCAGAAGCCAGCCCAGGCAGAGGGAGACAAGGGAGTGACTGCTGTTGCGTATAGACTGAATGGGCAGAAACACTCGGCAGGGAAAGGAGGCATGGCTGCAACTACGGGTTGGGGAGGAGCAAAAACATAGCAGAAGCGTGAAGGGGACAGCTTCTGGGGATTCCAGGCCCACGTCTCCATCTTGATTCCCCCAGCCCGACTTCTACCAAAAGTCCCCCCAGCCACAGCACCCAGACTCATTTGATGCATCTTCCTCCTTGGGAGAGACCATGACTGGGATGGACAGACCTGGCCCCCCGCCCTGGGGTCTCCACCTGCTTGGGGGCCCCAGAAGTTGCACCCTCTCTTTTCAGATGTGGAGTGGATGCCCATCCACACACGGGCATGTGTGGGCACCCTGATCGGCTATGTCTACAGCCTGGGTCAGTTTCTCCTGGCCGGGGTGGCCTACGCTGTGCCCCACTGGCGCCACCTGCAGCTGCTGGTCTCCGTCCCCTTTTTCGCCTTCTTCATTTACTCCTGGTGCGTGGGGCCCAGGGTGGGCAGGGAGGCTGAGGGCAAAGGACAAAGCAAAGACACCCCAGATCGTGCTGTACAGCCCATCTCACAGCATCAAAGAAGGGCCAACCTAGGCCAAGGCCTAAGTGTGTCAGACAGAGAAACTGAGGCTCTGAGTACCCAGCCCTCCCCCCACAAGTTCTCTCTGGTCCCCAGGGCCTGCCTTCACTGCTCTCTTTTCCCAGCACCCACAAGCTGAGCTCCTGGGTTGGGGGAAGAGAATTCACCAAGCTGGGCACTGCTTTGTGATCCTGGAGAGATGGATTGGGAAAAGCCCCTGGATTCTGAGCCTTAAATAAATTCCCACTGCAGGCCCCTAGAAAGCCCATCCCCCAACCCCCACCCAGCCAGCTGGAATAGAGGCTGTGCCGACACGCACCCCCCACTCTGCTCCCAGGTTCTTCATCGAGTCAGCCCGCTGGTACTCCTCCTCAGGAAGGCTGGACCTCACGCTGAGGGCCCTGCAGAGAGTGGCCTGGATCAATGGGAAGCGGGACGAGGGGGCCAAGCTAAGTATGGAGGTGAGAACCCCAATGGCTCCCGTGACACCCACCAGGGCTCCACCCACAAACCCTGAGCCCAGAACCCAGGGCCCAGAGGGCTTCCCTGAGTAAGGGGTCAGGCCGGGAGGCACTCCTGGCGAAGCCCAGGCTCTGAGCCCTGCCCGTCCTGGCAGGTGCTCCGGGCCAGTCTGCAGAAGGAGCTGACCTTGAGCAAAGGCCAGGCCTCAGCCATGGAGCTGCTGCGTTGCCCCACCCTTCGCCGCCTCTTCCTCTGCCTCTCCATGCTGTGGTAGGCCCAGACAGACTGACGAACAGACAGACCGAGAGACAAAAAGGCTGGTCGGGGAGAGAGTGGATGCGTGGGTGGAAGAATCCAGGCAGGAGAGAGGAAAACCCAACACACTGACTATGAGACAGTGCCATACCCTTCCACCATGGGGCATCCTAACAAGCCCCGGCCTCAGGCCTCAGTTCTACTCCAGGCCCCAACCTGGGCCTCCATCTCTCCATCTTCTTCTTCTCTTACCAACTCTGTTCCAATATGGAAAGCCGGCCTCAGGATGGGTGGGTGACTCCCTGTCAACAGAATGACATCAGGAAGACAGAGCAGTCTGACTTGCAAAACAGAGATTTTACCAGCCCATGGTGCCGGCCAGGAACGCAGGCCCCGTTGATGAGATGCTCAGAGCTCGTTCTGAAAGCACACTTTTGCCAAAGCTGATATGAGTCAAACATCTTCCTTTCCCCTTTGCCCTCCTTCTGTGCTATCCTCCCAGGCCCCCTCACCCTGACAGCCCCAGGGCAGTTAAGAGAAGCCTGATCAAAAGGAACAATGACTTCCAATTTGGATTTGCTCTAGGCTGTGAGTTCTAGCCACTAATCGGAGCTTCAGCTTCGGGTGTGGGTTCTTGACATCTTAAGAAGCCAGGTAGTTACCCCAGCACCGTGGACAGCCCTGCGAGGCCATGGCCTCTCCCAACAACTTAATCCTAAAGATGTGCTCGGATACACCTGCCCTCCCTTAATCCAGTACCATAGATAAGATAAGCATTAAAACTATGTAAATCCTGCATAGCAATTATGTGGAAATTCCCTTATACACTGGGGACACTATCTCATGACTGAGGGATTTAGGATTTTGGAAAACTACCTTGATATTAAAATTACATACTAAATGTCTAAAGAAATATTAACCAAGGCAGATTCCAGGACATTAAGCAAAACTACCTAGTGCAATTCACTCCTATTTTAAAAGCATACCCTTCATTCAAGCCTTCCTGACAAGCCCCATGCCCGTTTCTCTGCCCACTAGGTTTGCCACTAGTTTTGCATATTATGGACTGGTCATGGACCTGCAGGGCTTCGGGGTCAGCATCTACCTGATCCAGGTGATCTTCGGTGCTGTGGATCTGCCTGCCAAGCTCGTGGGCTTCCTGGTCATCAACTCTCTGGGCCGCCGGCCTGCCCAGATGGCCTCACTGTTGCTGGCCGGCATCTGCATCCTGGTCAACGCGGTGGTTCCCCGGGGTGAGCACATGTGGACACCTCGGTCTCTCATCTTTGGCCCTTCACCTGATATGACCCAGTTTCCCAGAAGGAAGGGGAGAATTTCCTCCCACCCTGCCCCCAAAGCTCCTACTGAGCTCCTTCCTTTCTCTCTAGATCAGTCCATTGTCCGAACTTCCCTTGCTGTGCTGGGGAAGGGCTGCCTGGCTGCCTCCTTCAACTGCATCTTCCTGTACACTGGAGAACTGTACCCCACAATGATCCGGTGAGTGGAAGCCAATGCAAGAAGGGTCTTGGGGCAAGACATTCCCCCACACAAAGGTCAGATTCCAGAGCCCCAGCCCCAGGCGCCCTCCCAGGACCCATCAAAGCCAGGTACATGGTAGCCACTCAGCAACACTTCATGGCCTGGCTACCACAGATCTGGCTGCCCGCTAAGATCTTACCTGACCCAAGGAGCCACCAAATGGGCTGGAGTAGGGAGCTAAGAACCATCTCAGAAGCAATGAGTTCAAGTGTCCCCATAATCTCCAAAGTACAAGTTTGCAGCCATCAAATCTAAATTCCATCTATCAACCAAGCAGTATGTCCTAAACCAAAGACCAAGGCATGGAAGTCATTTCCTATCACAAAGGACACACTTAATAGTGGTAACTGGATAGTAAGCTGTTGGAATAAACACAGCACTGCTTTTTCAAGTGTCAAGATGGGGAGAGGAAGCATGTTTGCATTAAGAAGCAAAAAGCATGTCTGTTTTTAATATGGGATACAAAATTCTCAGAAGCCCTCAAGGAAATATCACCCTTCTCTAGACAGCTGGAGTGAGCGCTGTCTATGGTGGTGACTTTGTGGGGCCCTCATAGGGCACAGAGTATAAAGTTCTCACACTGTCTTTTTTTTTTTTAAGATTTATTTGTTTATGCATACAAGAGCTGGGGTACAGGCCAGAGGTAAGGGGGGTTAGAAGATTCACCAGAGACAGAGTGGGGAGCAGAACAGGCAGCTGAGGGGAGCAGCAGGCGAGTCAGGAGAGGTCTGCTGCACCATGTGGGTAGCTCCCTGGCCGGCTGGGAATCAAACTTCTGCTGCAGAGGCTGCAGATTGTTTCATAGTGCCGCGCTTAACCCCTTGCGCTACCAGGGAGGCCCACACACTGTCTTAACTTGTTACAAATATTAACTCTGTGGTCCTCACAACAAGCCTCTGCACTAGATACTATACTTGGTCCCATTTTACAAATAAGAAAACTGAATCACAGAGAGGTTAAGTGACTTACCTGAGGTCACACAGTTAATATAAGAGGGGCCTTGGATTTGAAGCCAAACACTAGGCCTCCTAAATCACTGGTTTTTGTTTGTTTGTTTGCTTGCTTGCTTGTTTATAGATTTATTTATGAGTACAAGAGCTGGGGTATAGGCCAGAGGTGTGGGGGTGGGGTCGGTGAGAAGATTCACCAGAGACAGAGTGGGAAGCAGAACAGCAGACTGACTGAAATACACTGCTGAGGGGAGCAGCAGGGAGACAGGTGAGGTCTGCTGCACCATGTGGGTCCTCCCTGACCAGGGATCAAACAACCGCAGTGGCTGGCAAGAGCTTGATAGCGTTGAGACTTTAACCCCTGCACCACCAGGGAGCTCCCTAAGTCACTGTTTTTAACTTCTGCTCTCGTAATAAATGCTTTTAAAAGCAGATTCATGTCCCTTCCCCTGGGAATTCTAGTCCAACCCTTCTGTGTGGGGTTGGGGTGATTGTGATTCAAAATCCCCCAGGTGACCAGAACACAATTCTCCTAATCCACTAATTTGATAGCTCAGGAAGAGTGAGGCCCAGCCAGGAAAAGGGTCTCCTCTAAGGTCACATAGAAAGCTAAGGGCTGGGCCTCCCCTGGTGGCGCAGCAGTTGAGTGCTGGGCTGCAAAGCTGCCTGCAAAGCTGCCTGCAAAGCTGCCTGCAGCCTCTGCAGCGCCGGTTCGATCCCAGGGTCCCCCATGGCACGCAGACCTCTCCTGCCGCCCGCCGCTCCCCTCAGCAGTGTACTTCATCGGTCTGCCCGTTCTGCTCCCTGCTCTGGCTCTAGTGAATTCTCTCACACTCCCCCGCTTCTGACTGTACCCTGTGCTTGTATAAATAAATAAATAAATAAATAAATAAATAAATAAATAAATATTTTTTAAAAAAAATAAAGAAAGAAAGCAAGCTAAGGGCTGAAGCAAAATTCAGTCTCCCAATTCTCTAGTCAGCGCTAGAGAGAGGTGCTATCACCTCCTCGCCTTTCACAGACAAGGAACTCAAGGCACAGAGTGGTTAAGAGACTTGTCCAAGTTCTCACAGCCAGTAAACTGTGGCATCAGGGTTAGAATGTATATAATCTGGCCTCAAAACATGTTCCTACCTGTTTGTTTTTAATTCTCCAAAGAAAAGGCCAAATGGGTTTGCTCATAAAATGGGAAACAGAGGAGGCACAGCTTGGGGTGTCGCCGGGGGCTGGACCTGAGCTGTCCAGGTCTCCAGTGCGCCGGCACCTCGGCATCCATGGCAGGACACTGACGCCGCCCCTTGGCGCCCACAGGCAGACAGGCCTGGGGATGGGCAGCACCATGGCCCGAGTGGGCAGCATCGTGAGCCCGCTGGTGAGCATGACCGCCGAGCTCTACCCCTCCCTGCCTCTCTTTATCTACGGCGCGGTCCCCGTGGCTGCCAGCGCTGCCACTGCCCTCCTGCCAGAGTCCCTGGGCCAACCACTTCCGGACACGGTGCAGGACCTGGAGAACAGGTGGGCCACCTGTCAGAGAGGAGTAGGGACTTAGCCCAAGTGGAGCGTCCAGCCTGTGGTGGCCTTGAGATTCAACCTCAGCCACCTCCTCCAGGCCACGGCTCTCTGTCCATTTCCCCAACTGGCTGAGAGTCCTTGAATGCCACCTGGGCGCCCAGTTCCCGGGAGTGCTAGGAGTCTGGGGCTGGGAGCCTTGCTGGGTGGACAGCTCCCTGGGAGTCTGCAGCTCCCAGCCCTGGCCTGGAGGCTGCACACCCAGGGCACCACCCTCCTGCCCCCCCATCCCCAGGAGAAGCGGGAAACGGAAACGACAGCAGCAAGAACAGCAGAAGCAGATGGTGCCGCTCCAGGCCTCAGCAGGAGAAAAGAACAGACGCTGAGCACTACGAAGGGAGCCTATGGAGTCCCTCCAGGGCCCTCCAGGCCCTGGGCTACCCGCACAAGGAGGGCGGAGGGTGGGGAATGGAGGCCCGAGTGTTGGGGCTGCGGTTCAGGGAAGACCTTCCCCTGGGGGGCCCTCCCTGACAGACTCCCCCAGGAGCATATCATTAAAAAGTTTGTCTGCATCTCACTTGTCTCCCTTGTGTCAAAGGCGACAGCCACTCCACAGCAACCATCTTCTGACACAAAAGATCATACGGTCCAGTCCCTGCCCTGGACTCCGGGACTGGACAAACAAGTGGAGAATCTCTTCCCTCCACCCTCTCCCCCACCCCACCTTTCTTCCCTCTTCCCTCCCCACTTCCCTGATCCATTCAAATATTTCTGTGAGTTGCAGACACCCTCCCCTTCCCAGCTGCCAGGTAATTGACAAGGAACTGAAAGGAAATCAGCCAGTCAGAAGCTTTGGTCCAGGCTCCTACCCCTGCTGCCCCAGCAGATGGGAACCCCTGGCAGGAAAGGGGGAGGAAACGGATGATGACACCTGTCACATCAGGGTGCTAGCCCTGCTCCCAACATTCCAGCCATCTCAAAGCCAATTTGCCACTTTCAGCTCTGGAGCTGGAGGGTCAGCACCTTAGCTACCCCAACCCCTCCCCCAGGGCTTCCTTTGATGCTCTGCCCCCTGTGGACCCTGGGGAGGAGGACAGGAGGACTCGCCTGGCCAGAGGGAGCCAGCACTGAGTGCTTATTTATGCCAGGCACTGTCCTAAGCAGTTGGCCGCCATTAACTCATTTAATCCTCTCGGTGACTTTCTACAGATATGTGCAGTTAAATAACTTGTCCAAATTCACACCGCGAGTAAATTGTGGGGTCAGGATTAGAATGCAGATAATATAATCTGGCTCAGGAATGTGTGTGCCTGACCCCTCCACGACCCTAGGCTGGGAGCACTGAAACTTTGACCTTTTCCATTCCAGCCCCACTGCTTCTTTGCTTCCTCCCTCCAGCACTGAGGTGGGGGGGGGGGGACACGGGGAGTGGGGGAGAGGAGAAAAAGGAACCGTGAAGGGAACCAGGAATAGTGAAGGGAAGGCAGTTTAGGGGTAGCAGTCAGGAAAAGGCCAGGATAACCCTGTCACCTGTGTGGGCAGGACAGCTCACTGGAGGAAAGTCTGGGCGCAAAAAAATGGCCCTATTAGCACCTACAGGTGCCAGAAGCGAGGAAGTCAGTGTGCCCACACCACCCTAAACAAGCGTGCTCACTCATGCTTATCTGCTGGCACACAGGCTGCCCCCTGCAGCTGACCTGGCCCCCAGCCCTTCATCCCCTGGGGAAAGTATACACACACACACACATACACACACACACACACACACACACACACAGACTGTACCTTTGGGACGCTGGGGCTTGGCTGAATCAGGGCAACCTGGAGAGGGGAAGTGGCCTGGAGCTCCCCTGAAAAAGTCAAAAAGGCCTGTAAGATGGCAGATCTCCCTGGACAAATCAGGCAGAGCTGAAATCACCATAACTGTCCCCTCTTGGAACATGTGGGTCCATGGTGTTCCCCCCAAGCTCCCCAAGAATTGCTTGGCCCTAATAGGACCAGGAAGATGGCTGAAGGCCAAGAACCCCCAACCCTGCTGCTATTTCCCTGGCAGCACTGCCTTCATGGTTGAAGAGGGGCACCGAGGTGGTGCCATTCCCAGCCTCGGGCAGGGAGATGGGCTGAGACTGGGCCCCAGGACACCTGCCCTAGCCCTGCGACTGCAGTTCTGGGTCCTATACCAGCCTTAAAACTCTGCCAGCAACAAGGCTATGTCCCAGCTCCCCTGGGGTTTCTGTCTCTGGGCTTACGTCTCCTGGTGTCTGCATCTGTCTCAATCAGAGCCAGCTTCTACCTGTTCCCACCAACATCCCCACCGGTAATGTCCCAGTGCCAATTCAGGCAGCTCACTGCCACTCAGAATCCATGTGCCCACTCCTGGGCTGGGTGCCCTCCACTCACCCAGTGCCCCTGACCAATTGGAAGACTCCCTTCCTCCACTTTTTTAAAAATATTTATTTATGCATACAAGAACTGGGGTACAGGCCAGAAGTGCAGGGGCAGGGGGCTGAGAAGATTCACCAGAGACAAAGTGGGGAGCAGAACAGGCAGATTGACTGAAATACGCTGCTGAGGGGAACAGCGGGCAAGACAGGAGAGGTCCCTGGTCAGTGGGTCAGCTCCCTGGCCAGTCGGGGATCAAGCTGCCGATAGCTTCATAATGCTGAGACTTAACCCCTTGTGCCACCAGGGAGGCCCCACCCCTTCCTCTACTTTCAAGGTAGCAGGTGACTTATGGCCCTGTTTCCCTAAGGAGTCAGCCCCGGAACACTGACTCACGGCACATCCTCTCCCCCAGGCCCTGAGCCTGAGTTCTGACACTCTCATGCCCCCCTCAGCAGCCTCAGTTTTGGCCACAAGGTCCTGCCTCAGCCAGGGTAAGCACTGAGGGAGAGTAATATGGCAGAAATATGGAAATTACTGGGGACTTGACGTGCCATTGAGCCACTGACTTAATCAGCCCTGAAGTCACCTACCTCATTCTGTGTTAAGAGTGGGAATTGAAGTTCTCCTTATTCTTTAAATGATGGGGAGTTGGCTTGCCTGTGACTTGCAGCCAAAGACATCTTAACTAATCTATCTTTACAACCTTATAAAAATATAATAGAGAAGCGATTGGCCCTGTTTGTAGTGTATAATTTAGTTTTGACAGATGTGTTACCCAGCAAAGGGGTCTCTACCCTAAGTGCACAGATCAGAAAATGACATCAAGTAGTTGAGAAATCAGCTTTATTGTGAATTGATTGGCAAAGAGGTAGGAGAAAACTCATGTCTACCTCCCTGATTAAGAAAGGAAATGAGATGGTGTAGATTTGGGGGACAGGTCCGGGAACAAAGTTCAATTTTATTGGCTGAAAAGCAGTTTAGGGGCAAAGAATGTGAACTTGGCTGATACTTACTTACTGGTGAGTTGCAACACGCTTCAACCTGAGTATGAGAGGCTTTTCTTCAGGTCACTGGAATTTGAGGTTTCTATTGCTGCACCCCAGCCCCTCTGGGAGCCTCCTCCCCTCTGCATTCTCAGCCTCCAGCCAACCTTGGAGCTCAGCTCAAGGCTATCTGCTCCTACTTGCTTAAGCTGGGTGAGATAAGGTTCCAGCTAGGTCATCTGCAAATACAAGCCTCAAAAAGAAAAGTTTAAATAGTTTTTCCCTCTCTTGGACCTTAGGGTCTGAGACCAATTTAACCATTTAACCTCGGTTTCAGATGGATATACCCTGAGACCATTGTGGCAATCCAGAGCAGGAAAGACCAGCACTGCTTCCTCTGGCCTCTTTGAGAGGACATAGCTTCAATTTCCCTTGAGAAATAACAAAAGGAGGGTGACTGAGTCTATGCAAGATGTATATTTAACTTTTTAAAGAAATAGCAATTTTCTTAAAATGGGGTACAGGATAAGAGAGCTTCAGTTGCTCCACCTCTTTGGTAACACTTGGCGTGATCAAAACTTTACATTTTAGGGGCCTCCCTGGTGGCGCAAGGGGTTAAGTCTCAGAACTGTCAAGCTATACACAGCCACTGCAGCACAAGTTAGATCCAAGGCCAGGGAGCTACCCACATGGTGCAGCAGACCTCTCCTGTCTTCCCGCTGCTCCCCTCAGCAGTGTATTTCAGTAGATCTGCCTATTCTGTTCCCCACTCTGTCTCTGGTGAATCCTCTCATCCCCCGTACCTCTGACCTGTACCCCATCTCTCGTGTGCATAAATAAATAAACATTTAAAAAAAAAAAAGAAAGAAAGAAAACGGTGGTTGAACTTGGGCGCCTCCTGGCAGAAAGACCAGAAATCCTTGCAGAAAACCCTGACCAGGTTTAATATTCTGCCTTGGTTCCCCAGAGTTGGGCACCTCAGGGTGAGGAAGTGGACAGAGGAAGGGATAAAGGAGTTGTGCAGATGGGAGGAGCAAAGGGGACTTTCCTGAGCAAAAGGTTCTGGGCTCAGAGGCCTAGAGAAAGAACAGTTGCCTGACTTCGGCTAGAAATAGCTCTTAGCAGCTGGGCCAGGAGATGGAGCGCAGCCAAAGAACTAAGATGGGAAAGAGAACAGGGTTACAGGGGTCCTTTCATCTCAAATGATTTCACATCCCTCCCCAAGCCTACCCACCCCCACCCCCCCATTCGTAGAGGGGGTCAGGCTGCTGAGGGCTTCACCAGGCTGAATTCAGCACTCTAGCTGTCATGGTGACTGTGCCCTTAATGTCCGTTCTGGGCAAAGCTCTTTTGATCGCAAGGAAGAGAGTTCTCTCAAAGAGGTCGTGGGGGAACAGGGTTATTACTGCAAGACAGAGACTTCAGCAGCGTGTCCATGGACAGAAAACAAAGCGCCTCCAGGCCTCATGGAGACAGGTATTAGAGCCCCAGGGGCATCTCCACACACTACTGCCTTCCTCTCATCTCAACCCTTTCCACCGTGTGCTCCTCTGCAAGGTGAGCACCACCCCAGTTCCAGCCCAATGCCTCTCAGATTTCGGGGCCCATTGCCAACCTTAGAAAAGGCTCTGATCTGCTCAGTACGGCACATGGAAATGAGCCCACCAGCCCCCAAAGGGCTCAGGTGTCTACTCTTCAGCTCGCTTGTGTGCCAAGGGGCAGCAGAGGGGGTCATGCAGCCCAGCCCAGAAGTCAAGGCTGTGCAGAGAAGACAAGGGGCTATGGTCAGGTGTGATCCCCAAACTTGCCTAGCACAGCTTGTCTGAAACTGATCCGAGTAAGCAAGACTCTCTCCAGACAGACCCCAAGACACAGAAGCAGATGTGACCACGTATGGCTGATCCTCCTGGGATAAGGGAAGCAACTACTTAGTGTTGCTGCCTGGGCAGCTGACAATATGAGAACCCTGTTCATGCCCAGGCTGGACATTTAGCGAAGACATAAGTTGAGGATCCCCCATATATTCTTGTCTTGCTTTTCTCTAGGAGCATGTTTTA